CCCCCCCCCACTTTAAGATGCAAAAAATAATTTAGGGAACTACATTATCTATTAGCATATAACATATTTTCTGATTTCTTATGTGTTGTGGTTTTTTTCTGTATCTTATAAATTTAAAAAAACCATAAAAATTTAAAGTCCATGCGATACACTGAAATCCAGATAGTGTACAGTCTAAATTAAAGATAATTTAGACAGTGCACAGTCTATCAAAGATAATTTACTTTCAGTAATGTACTTTTAGAAATGCCCACTAACCCAAATTAACTTCAAGATAATTTCTTTTTCAAAAGTCAAAAAATGACAGTTGTAGACTCTCTGAGCAGGTTATGTCCTTAACTGAGATCTGAGGCAACACTATCCCCTAGGAGGGTAGAAAACAGCAACTTTCAGATAAAAATATATTTCGTAGCTAAATAACGCTTGCCTGTTTCAGCTGCTTCAAAGCCCCACGTGGCATCATTCCATTTTGAAGGCTGTAAAGTGGTGTCAGTGAATGGAAATAAATTCCTGGTTAGTTGAGCTACTCCTGTGTTTGCAAAGCCACAGAGGAAAGGAAAAGAGGAAGCTGCCTGAAGGCCAAGGCCGTCTGGGTGACCTCAGCATCCCCTGCCCAATCACACACCAACTCGTAGGAGGGGTTGCTTCTGGGAGGGAGAGAGAATGGATGACAAGGTGTGTTTCCACACTTTATACTTTTCTATTTTACTTTTACACAACGAATGTATCCATGTCTTCCTTGACTTTCTAGTTCTTCAGAGAAGTTAAGGTTATTATTAGCTTATGAATGAATGATTTCTACATTTTACTCTGTTGCTAGTAGGCAAAGTCAGGTGAAGGAAAAAAACAACCCAGAAAAAGTTCTGGGTTCAAGATTTCCCACTAACTCTAGATAACATGTGAGTATGATGCAGCTTCACACAACTGCTGTAGGGCTTATTAGATCCACGCCTGAGTTCAAGCTATCCAAATGTTTTAGGGGCTAGGACACTGGCAGGGTGCCATTCATTTCTTACTTGAGTAAGTGCTGTTCTTGAACTTTTTATAATACTGTTCTCTGAGCAGCAACTGCTCCTGGAACGGCCACTCCAACTGTAACCTCTTCTCAACGTCCGAAGGGATGGATCCAGATTTGCAAATATCTGCAGATGGAAGATAATTTAGAGATCTATTTTTGCAGTGATATGTAAATCCCGTACACTCATTTAGTTAGACACTTATGTGACTGAAGTAGGATAATTACGCTTCTGGTTATTAGGTATGTGATCAGAGAAAATATATTCTGTGACAACAAACCAAATTTGCTGGCTAACCAGTCACCACAAACAAACAAAGGGCAGGTTTCCTATGAAACATTGGCCACACACTGGACACAGGTACGCTGGACATAACTTCAAGTTATTTTACAATTTAGAAAGCTCTCAGAAACTAGAAATTATCAGAGACCTCCTCTGAAGAAAACACAGTTCAGTTTTCTTAAGGTTCACCTTCAAAATACATAGAAATTTGTTTTATGGGGACGATATCTGATTTGTGCGATTTCCTCTTGCCATAAAGGGAGGACAGGAAATGTTGACTTTTTCCTTCAAATGTGGTAGCTTCAAAGCTTCTGAGACCACAACACGTGCACTTGGAAAACCCCCCACTACCCTCTCAGGTGGACTGTGCTTCTTCATCACAAGACACCAGGCCCCCAGGCACTCGCTGCCAGGGCTGGCTGACCCCCAACGACTTCCTTTCTGGGAAGCTGCACATTCTGGCTTTCTGGCAGCCAGTGCTTATCCATCCCTGTGCTCACAAAGGATGTTTCAGAAACACTTGGATAATTCCAGTGACCCCCCCCCCCCCC